AGACTCTATGTGAACTGAGAATCTAATCCTGAAGGGTGATCGATGTTAGCAGTAAGTTTATTGATAAAGTTAGAGGTGATTTTTTGTTATCTGAACAGAAGACAACAGAACGGTAAAAAGAAAGAAGAGAGGAAAGAACATTAGCGACAAGACAGGGTGGAGTGATGGTGCTCCATGCACTATAACGCAACCAACAGTCAGTCATATCAGTCTACCACCGTCAAGTATGGCCAAATGGTATAGGCCGCTGTCTTAAGCACACGGGTCTGAGGTTCGATCCCTGAAATAGTTGAGGGAATACGTTACCAACGAGTACTAACAGAACGAAACGATTGTCCAGCACTTCTAAGGGTGTTCGTGGGGCCGTCTGGTTAAAAATCCTCAGAAACCTAAGTGAAGCTATTATGTGATAGTAGCCCAACTGGAAACGAAGCAACTTCAGTGAAATACCATAACCACAGACAATGCAAATACCGTAAAGGGACAGAACGAGAAAAACCTCACTGATCAGCAAATCCGGGTGAAAACGACAAGCCTCCACGCAACGGCATGCGGTAGGGAGTTCTTTGCGACATTCCGTTTCTAACACAAAGTAACCGCAAGGCATCACTGATATCATATCAATCCTACACTGGCAATGCCACTTCGAATGGTGGTGAAACGTTTGCAATGAAGTTGCGCAGCTCGGCGAACTCAACAACAACAACAACAACAACAACAACAACAACAACAACAACAACAACAACAACAACAACAACAACAACAACAACAACAACAACAACAACAACAACAACAAGTGGAAAATCCTCTCCAGCTACCAGTAATCCAAGTAATTTCGAAGCGTAAGGCAATAAGAACAACCTAAGCCTTCGGGTTTGTGGTTCTACACGTCTCCTTAGGATATCACGTTGAAAGCGAAGTCACACACAAACCTACTTAGGTAGCAAGACAAATAAAAATAATTGATTTGTGCAAGCGCGAGTGCCAATCACTCGTTACGTCACTTTCGTCACGAAGAGCTGCATCAGCTGGTGCAGCGCATTTACCGACGCCGGTCCGCCGTGTTTTTAAACTTAGGTGGAATCACGTCTGCACCGGCACACCTGCCGTTTCGCAACTGAGCAAGTCCCCTCTGCGTCTCATCCTGTGTCGGTGTGGCCACCAAACTCACTTTCACATCCTGCTGCTTCAGAACGTTCAATGTAGGGGAGTCAATCTCTGAACAGTCGTTCGAGAGACGGTCAAAGTGAGTTCGCCACATGTGAATGGATGCAGCGATCGAACTACCATTTGCAGCGTCTCCAACATCTTTCCATACACCGCCCTCAAGAAGTCAAAAAATTCCTTGTGTTGGCGGGATTCGGCGTAGCATTCCATCTGCTTCGCCTTCTCCGCCCACCATGCACTTTTTAATGCGACGGAGCTCTCGAATACATACCGTCGAATTTTGCGAAACTGACTCTTCTTCTCCAAGTCACTGGGATCTGCCACATATGTAGCAAACACTGCATTCTTCTCATACACCAATGCGCCAATCATCACATTGTTCTCATCAAACCAGTCAGGCCGCTTACACTTTGCGCGCCAGATGGTCTCCTCGGCAGCAGCTGTCACCTAGTAGCGAATGTGGTGCCACGAGTTGCCCACTGTGGCCATGCATTCCACATCACAGAGGCGTGCAGTCATCGCCTGCTCCTGCTCAATACGTTTCTTCACAGGACTGAGGGAATATGAAATTTACGTCCCCGGTTCACGGCAGACACACAGTACGCACTTTTCTGTACGCAGAGGTACAATTTGGTCCGCACCAACTTGTGGTCAGTGCCACACTCAGCTCCACGCAGTACACGTGTCATGCGCACTTCACGCATATCACGCCGACGTACGATGACATAGTCGGGCAGGTGAGCGTGACCACTCCGTGGGTGCGTCCAAGTTGCTACATCATTCGCACTCAGTGCAAACTGAGTGCTCGTGATCGTCAGGCAGTGAGTGTCGCACAGTGAGAGCAGCCTGTCACTATTCGCATTCGTTAAACTAATGCCATGCGGGCCGATGATGTCTGTCCACACCAATGCATCAAACCCAACGAGCGCGTTGAAATCACCCAGCAGAAATAGTCGGTCGCTCTTCAGCACAAACCGTAGTACGGAGGATAACTGAGTGTAAAATTGATCAGCGTGTCATCAGGATAACACATGATCGGACCGGACGCGCTTATAAAAGTGGTAAACTTATCCCTTCCGAGTCGTAGGTGAACAGTCATCAGTCGCACCCAGATGCCAGTGGGCTCACCCACCAGCTGGCCATTCAGGCGATCGGATAATGCAAATCCGACCCCATGTTCATGTGGTGCTGTGGTGGTGTATCCCACTCAGTAGAACGTATACCCGGCACTAGCTTCATGCAACTTAACTTGCTCAGTGAGCCGGGTCTCGCTTAGCGCCGCAATATGAATATTTTAGCGCACGAGTTCCATCGTGACCAGCGTAATGCGTCGCTCGGGGCGCTCACTTGAGCTCCGGTCCAGTAGGGTGCGCACGTTCCAGCACCCGATATTGAGTGCTTTATACACAGGTATACGATTGCATTGGTGGACAATCGCACGCGTGGTAGTGAGTGTACATCGGCTTGCTTGAGGGACTCCATCCGGAACCTTTGGCTCAATAGCCTGACCCACAAGGCAGTGGGGGCAGATCCAACTAGGAAGTGTGACTGCAGAGACTCATTGGGATCTGTTTGAGGTCTATCATACACAGCCTTTGAAAATTTAGTATTATTCACGTGTTTCGCGACCGTAGTATTTTACGCACCTGCGACCACGGCCAGACACAGGAAGGTTTTGGTGTGATTGTACCAACTTGACCAGGGCCTGCCTGGTTTGAAGCGGGCGGTAGCAAACCATTGAGCACCCTGTGTCCTCTCACCGTTAGAAACAATGTGTGGCGCTCGTGCTCTACGCCAATCGAGCGGTGAGCTTATCACCCGTGGACCTGTCTCCCGTGACTAGATTTTACGAGAAGAGGGCTAACGACCAGTTCCTAACCTTCGAAGAAGAAGAAGAAGGGGTTTGGACTAGGATACTGGCAGGGCGCGCACGTCGGACAGGAGAACGAGTTGGGTCTTCAGTCAAAGCCTTCGAGTAAACGCACACCTGCAAGGCAGCAGATCTAGCACGTGGTCAGTTCATTGACAGGATTGTGTGTGTCCTGGCTATTAGTTAGAAGAAAAATGTAACCCAACTCAAACTCAGCGGTCGCCTCGAGGAAGCGTCCAGGACATGGGCCCAGGGGACAGTGCGTCAAAGATCTGTCAGGATCTAGCCACCACAAGCCTCAACGCACCATGAACCAATAAATGGTTGGCAGTGTCACAACACATGGCAAAGGACAAGAGAAAGAACCAGAGCGGAGAAAAAACAGTCAGGGATAATAGTCTCACAACTCATTCGCTACTGGATACGGTTCCGGGTCACGTCCGATAGCGTATCCAACCAAGTGTGCTCACTGTTCTTGGGCTCCCTCAACCTGAGAGTCTGGAACGTCCCACCGTGGCTAACACCACGGACCCAGGTTGTATGTTTGCCAGCTCTCCGTCGCGTCCGGCCAATGCCGGTGCATGCAAACAAAGCGCGGGGGGGCCATTGATGAGCGGCCATACGGAGGACGTATCCAAGCCACCGGAGCGTACGCAAAGTAAGGGGTTCGAAACAAAAGCACTATCACTTTGCGTTGATTACAAAGCTGGGTCAGCACATCGTTAAAACAGAAAAGACCATCAATGAGCTGATGTCACGCCATGATTGCGAGGGAGGCATACCGTGTGCAAACGTGCTCCGAAATCAGCGAACGCGCACGCGCATCTCCGAGAAAGACCAGGTGCAAACTTGGGACAATACATGCGACGAAACACCGTACTTATGAGGCATTTCGAGAGCTGGAATAGGTTCAGTTTCCAGAGGTGGTGTGAAAAAGGTCGGCAGCACATTTAAAGTTGATTATGAACACGGCCACCATGAGGCAATTAAGGTGCTGGAAAGAGTAAAAAACTGGGTCACCGAGATAGAGACAAAGACTATTGCGGCCAATGAATAGTGACAGCTGAATGAGAGTGAGTGAAAACAAACACAGAAAAGTGGGGCTAATTGGCGGAAGTCCATGTATAAAGGCTTACTGTGCAGCAGCAGCAGCGGCAGCAACAACAACAACAGTGAGATCCTGGAGAAAAGGTGCAGCGAAATGCAATGCAAATCAGTGAAGCATGGACGATGGAAGATACGAGTTAGGACAACAGCCTAAAATTTGCACCCACTAATCGTTGACAAGGCAAACTATCATGAGGAGCTGACACGAATAAACAAAAGATGTCATTTAACGTGCGAACACGGTCGAGTAAGAGTTGTGAGTTGCCAATCCCACTAGCTGAAGCGAAATAACGCATGTAACCTAAACTTCATGCGTAGACCGCTTCAGTGTGTCCGGTGCATACGGGAAGAAAATGGACGCGTGGCAATTGAATCGAAAAACATTGCTGGCAAAAGCAGCTTACGTAATATTGACCAGTCCACGATGGAGCAGTCACGTTTACGTGGGAGACTGTGACGAAAACATGGACGGAATGAGAATACAAAGCGCCGTCAGTGGAGGGCTAGGCCAACAAGCGATGTCATACTCCACATGAAGAATGGGTCGGTCAGAGACGGTAAATCACGTAAGTGGTGGGTGGCCTGCGGGCTCCGATATGCAAATGCTGTAGTGAAGAAAACATACCAACCCACACGTCAGGGACACAGTAAGGATAGACGTGTGAGAGAAGCGAACGTCCCTTACCAAAATAAGCGGTTCCAGGTGTAATAAATGAAGGAGCCTGGCGACGAAAACAAGGTGAAGAAAATGGATCCAGTTTTGAAATACAAATCGAATTCGTGAATCGTGTGGGCGGATTGGACCGACAAATGAGTATATACGGTAATGATAAATGATGTTACGATAGAAACTTACCTTCACCATCTTTGTAGGTAAGTCTATTAGTGGGGAACGGAGACTCGATGCATCAGTTTGTGGGAGATTCGAAAATTCAACTAGTTTCCGAGAAGTCGCTGTGTCAACAACTGGAAGACAGGGGTCGGTCACAGGCAGACGGCAAGCTAGACACAGTCCAACAGTGGTAGCAACACTTGCTTCCCGTCCACAAGAAAGGGCACCCATGGAATTGGAGCGAACAAGCAGTCGGCCTCTTGGGTTGAATTTTCGCATCAGGGCTAGGGAGTAATGGCGGGAAAATGATAACATGGTAACATGTAAACCTAGGTGCCCACCGGTTTGGCGTTTCCTGACCTGGTATAAATATTGTTTGTTTAAGCGTAGTAAGTTCAGTTGATGGGAAGTCTCAACTGGTAGACAACCCCAAGAGTACAGTAAAAATTGTAAGAACCAGTTTCGTGCGATCGAAAATACCACAGCTAGTCATTGCCGCTTTGTTATCAGCACATTCAGTCGGATAATTCATCGCGAACTTGCAGTTAAAACGCAGAAGTTATGGTCACTGTTAAGGGCATTTACAACACAAGCGATAAGTGAATGCCATGGACCGAATGTGAATGAACGCAGAGTTCCACATACCGAAACCTTTATGTGCTGTTAAAAACTTGCGTTAATTAACTGTGCTGGTGAGTTGGTACGGAGGTGACCATCTGAGTGGGGATTTTAATGAAGCTTGTGCAGATCGCCTGATGCATAGTGAATGAGAACAATGATGTATCACGGGCAAATCCCGTAGGTTGGTTGGGGTGAAAAGTAAAAAGGTCAAAAGATAAATGAAGCATCAAAGCGTCTACTAATTTAATTGCACTGTTACATAACGATAGTTTGAAATGGGAAATGAATGTGCGAACACAAAGTAATGTGGGAAGTAGTTCCAGTTCAGGAAATCCGTGAAACAAAAAACTAATAAAGCTCACGCGTGTGCCCCTTACTTAGACCGATGGGATGAGTAAAAACAGTTACAACAGCAGCATTACTTGATGAAGTGCAGAAAGTGAAATTGAACACATTGGTTGGTGGTGTTCGGTTGACGACCGGACACTGAGGGTTATAGGGGTGTAGTGTAAATGCATGAGTGTATCATTGAGACGCCTTTTGAATACCGTTCGTGTGGGGAAAAACGACTTAAGTGAGGAGGGCGTTCCAAGGTTGGGACACACAAAGTGAGCAGAAATCCCGGCGACATTCCAACCGGCTATACTGTGTGGCCAGCTTTAGCTGGTGCCCATTCAGAGTGGTATGATGGATCAGCTTGAGGTGACAAGCATGGCTCGGATTTCTCAGAATCACATATGTGATCATCAAATCGCCACACAAGCGTCGATAGTGTTCCCTGTAGACTCCAAGGGTTTTCAGTCTCAGTTGCTGAGGGAGATAAAACAGACAGTTTACGTTCTTGGTCCCCCTTCGTTGCCGCATTTCAAGTGCAGTGAGGTTGTGCTTATGCCAGAGCTACCAGACGTGGATGGTGTATTCCGAATTGGGCCTATTGTAAGCATTGAGCATTTGAGAGACTATTAAAGGGTCAAAGCGAGCGAATGCCCCCCCGTAAAAGTAGATGTTGGTTGGTATTTTTAGATGCCTTCTCGGCCTGACGTGAACAGCCAAGATTCTCTTGTATTTTCACACCTAGGTCGCATCCAGTAGAAGCACGCTGCAAAAATTGATCCCCCAGCCTGTAATCGCAAGTGGATTGGAGCCGTTCAAATGAAGCAGGTTTTGAGCCGCCTATTCATGTACTCTGTAAGGATCATCTCGACGCGTAAGTGGTAATCCGTTATTGTAATGGCCCGCCATATTTTGAATTCATCAGCGAAAGGTACGAAATTGGAAGTGATCACTCTCGTGAGATGGTTTATGCAAATCAGGAATAGATGTGGCCAAGTACTGAGCCCTGTGGCCCTTCGAAACGAACATCGATAGGATCAGAGATAGCGCTGGGAACTCTCACATTCAGATGTGGTTGAATCAGGAAGTTAACTATCCAAGCGAGAACTGGGTCACCAATTTCACAACTCTGAAGCTTGTGAATGAAGGTACGGCGGTTCACGCGATCGAATGCCATTGAGAAGAACAGCTAAACTGTGTCAATACTCACATTGCTGTCGACGGTTTCAGTCCAAATGGATCGAGCAAGAAGCAGGTTTGGGGTGCAAGACCGATTCTGATGGAATCTACACTGTTCTCATGTTATGATTTTGCATCCACTCAAATAATTCACAGGCGCTTCGGCAATAATAGGCAATGAATCCGCCAGACGACTGATGACAAGTAGACTGTCGAACAAGAACTCTAATCAAGCACGAAGGGAGCAAAAGCTGGAATCTATGGATCCGGAAATTATTTCCCTTAAGGTTGACAAATGTATGTGGGCAGAAGAACTGTTAATTTCGTTTGGTCCGCACTGAGAAGTTTGTCGAAACAGCTGCTCAGTATGCGAAATAGGAATAAGCAAAGATATGAGATAGGTTAAACTGATATATGAGGCAATATATTCGACTGGGGAGATCAGATTTGAGGACTAGGCAACCAACATAAACAAACACGACATAAAACTAGAATCGTACGTATGCAGTGAATCGATGACCTTGTTTGATGGAAGCTAGGGAAATGATGAGTTGGGCAAGATGTGAGCTATCGGATATGCGTCAAACACTGGATTGAGCAAGACTAGAGAGGAAAGGGATTTTTAAGATAGCCATTCCTCAAAAGAACGTACGATCGTGCTATGGGGAACATGAAGGGAAAGGAAAAATGCCAACCACGTGAGCAGAAAACCATTTCAACTCAGGAGCGTCTAAAGCTCGGAACTAGGTCAAGCAACTACAAGGTGAACGTTCTGATTGATTAGCCTGGTAGAACAATGTGATTTGTGTGAGTTCTGTATGTCCTCAAACGACCTCGCCCAGAAAGCAAAAGTTAGATGTGAACACAGCCACCAATCAAGACAATGATGCATTTAAATAGGTAACCAGAGAAGCGCACAGATCATCGGAAGAGCATGATGAAAAGAAGCCAAGTGAATGAGGAGGTTGGCGCAAATATCTTCCGGCTTGAATAATAAGGCAGGGAATGAGCACCGGAGAATGCATTCGTTCGAAGTGAAAACAAACAGCCCTACTCTGGGGACAAGCGCGCATACTTATGCAAATGTAGGTGTAGTTGGTAGGAAAACACACGGGAGAGAATTAAAAAGCGGGTGGTGACAAGAACCGATTTTGAGGAAGATCGATGAATGGATTTTACAGCAAAATCACAGCTCGTGTCACCCAACCAACAGAGCTGAATGGAAACCCGCGACGTGCGAAGAAGGTGCGTGGTATGTGGTTTGGCAAAAGAAATAAGAGATAAAGAGGAAGCAGCTAAAAAGCTGTCTCTTACCATGTGTGCACTGTGTTCAAGATTAACAAGAATATAAAGTTGACAGCGCAAACAAAATAACTAATCAGTGTCATTCAACCAGATATGGGGTGGTGTGTCAATCATAGTGGAGATAGGGATTGAAAGGATGCGTCCACTTGTCTAGCGAGGAAGAATCTAGCTTTAGACCATGCTGAGGTGCCACAAACTAATTGTACACAACCCGCCAAAATCTCTAACCTCAGGCCAACAGTAGACAATCGTGGCGTCTTTGAAAACATGAAGCATATCTGACTCATCCAGTATATCTGTTCAGTGGTGTCGTCGTGAGATCAGTACAAAGTAGAAGGGCAGGGCGCGCATTATCTCCGTTAATCTGATCTTGTTGCACGGTTACGAGACTTGGCTCGTTCGTTTAGAAGATTTGAAACAACTGTCAATTTTCGGCAACCACTGCGCACGAATGATCACTAACATGTGCTGACAGGATTATGAAAGCAGCGGAAACTTCGAAAATGAGTGCTCGGAGCGATGAGTCTCCGTCTCCAGGGCATTACTCTTCGACACCGTTTGTATTGGCTCGTCCACGTACTATGCTGGTTAGTCCACCGTCTCTTTCGTCGCGTATTATTCGCGTTTTCTAGATATAAATGAAAAAATGTCGTCGGAATCAACCGATGATGTCGACGGCTTGAAGAATGTTACGCCGTTTAGTGTCTAATGGATTTATCCGTCCCCAGATTGGGGACAAGCTGACTCGGATTATCAGTGGTTAGCAGTCCTGGAGGTTACGGCCCAGGATAAAATTCAGTGGCGCCAAGACTGCTATGCAATTTTCAACTGTAAAAAATGGCATAAGTGGAACATAAAATCAATTATTTGTATTGCGACGGTTTTCACTGACACTTACTCCCCCCTCCCATTTTCGCCACGGTTCTGAAGCTAATATATACAAACAACCAAATCTAATGTAGAAGGTAAATGGCAGACAGAGGTGAATCCAGAATCTTAGCAGTATGGAAGTTATCGCAATACAAGGAGTAAACTCTGGCGTACTGCACTGCGTTGATGACGATAATATCTTTAAATTACTCGCCTTCTCTTAGATGTCAAACCCGTGTGGCGACGCTGGTGGCTAATTAAGCCACTTTGGTTGAGGCACTCGCGACCGCATGTGTTACGACACAATAAGCTCGACGTCGATGACATAGAATTTATCGGCGGTTGTCGATTCCGTATCAGGCGTCTCTTTTTCACATGCAGTAGTAATTTCCTATCCATATGGACAACCGTCCTCTTGATATGCTCGCGCTATTGGCACCGATCCACTAAAAGCGATTCTCAACACCTGAACACAAGAGTTCGCGATAAACTCACTCTAAGCATGTCCTGGTAAAGTAACTTCGATCGGGTGATAACCTTCCCCACGCAACTCCGCAAGTTGATGCCACGATAATTCGTGCAACATTGCTTGCTCCCTTTGTCCTTGTACAGTGGTAGCACAAGGCATCCATCAGCTCGGCCGCCACTGCCTCTTCAGTCCACACGCGCTGCAATAAGTGGTGCAGTGCATTTACCAACGTGGGTTCGTCATGTTTCAATAGTTCAGGCGGGATCCCGTCGGCGCCGTCACATTTGCCGTTTAACAGCTGAGCAAGTGATCCCTGCGTCTCATCCAGTGTCTGTGTGTCGGCAAGATACATCTACATCTCTTACTGTTGCAGCCCGTGAAACGTAGGCCAGTCATTCTCTGAACAGTTGATCAAGAGACAGTCAAAGTTTGTTCGCCAGATCTGCATTATGTCTGTAGTCTGTGTACAGGCAGTCTGAAATGGTATCGAGCAGTGTCCTCAGCGGT